TGACTGGCCAAAATCACCCAGTCAGCTTTCATGCCTAAGGTGGGACTAGAACTCACAGTCTCCCAGTTTCTAGCCTGGTGCCTTAGTCACTAGACCAGGGGTCTTTAAACTTGGCCCTTTTATGACTTGTGGACTTCAACTCCCAAAATTCCTCAGCTAGTGTGCCTGGCCGAGGAATTCTGGGAGTTGAAGTCCACAAGTCATAAAAGGGCCAAGTTTGAAGATCCCTGTTATAGGGTCTCCTTCTTGTACAGGGGTTTGGACTAGAACAGTGGTCCCCAACTTTTTCAGCTTGGTGACCTGGCCTGGTGCAGTGGGGGGACGGTTGAGTGGAGGGTGTTTGTGCTCGTGAGCGAAGCTCCATTCACACGAATGGAGTTTTGCACGCGAGCACAAGCGCCCTCTGCTCGTTTGAGTGGAACTTTATGTGCATACGTGCTTGCCCATCTCTCCCGCGGCCTGGTTTTGAACAGGCCACGGTCTGGGAAGGGGCCACAGCCCGGGGATTGGGGGGGGGGCTGGATTAGAAGACCTCCAAGGTCTCGTCCAACTCTTATCATTCTGTATTCTTGTCTGTAATATGAATCTGTCCATGGACTCAGAAGGAACTGAGCCTGACTCAAAGGAGTCTTGACTTTTCCCTAAAGTCTGACTAAGGTTCTTCCCGCCTATAAATTCCGGCTGCTATGTTTAATGGAGCCACAAAAGGGAACAACTTTTGCTTTGTTTCAATTGAAGTGAAAGTTCAGAAAAGGGTCTGAACCATCAAGAGAAGGGGCAGTTGGTCAAAGGACTATCCTTGAGCAATAAATTGAACTTCTGGGTTTTGCAGGATGGCCTGTTATGAATAAGAAACACCACCAAAGTAAAAGAAAAACAGTTCGAAGAGAATGGAAAGGAATGGGGGGGGGGGAGGAAAAGAAAGGGGGAGGGCAGTTGGAGTTAACTCAGCTTAAAATAGCACCACCACACAAAGAGCAGGTAATACAAAAGAATAATAAAGTAGGAGAAATTGCTGCTTATTACGTGGGCAGCACAGCCGTGAGACAGCAATGTAATTGTACTCCCGCTTTTCCACCTCTTCCCTCTCTTTGTTCTACCACTCCCACTTCCACTGTTCTGCCTAAGAGAGGGTGTGCAGCTCAGAAGGTTGTTGAGCGTGCGGTGCCAACGCTCTCTTCATCATTTGCGTCTCCAGCAGGTGTAGAAATGACTGGCTCCCTGAGATAGGTAACCAAAGTCACATGAGCAGGGGAGACTTATTATTAATGTTAAATGTGGATTAATATTAAGACATTGTTAACCAATTCAATTTGCCATCCTGTGCCGAGTTCCCTTATTGATAAATGTATCTTTTCAGTTTGTGACACCAAGATTATATTACAACTCCTAAGGAGAATTCACCTGTACCCATCTTGCATTTCTTCTTATCACTTGGGCAGTTTTTAGGAAAGGTGTCTATTGTTACCAATTCTTTCAGAGAAATATATGAGGAAGGAAGGAAGGAAGGAAGGAAGGAAGGAAGGAAGGAAGGAAGGAAGGAAGGAAGGAAGGAAGGAAGGAAGGAAGGAAAATCAACAATTAGAATAAATAAGGAGATGTTCTAAACCAGGGGTCTTCAAACGTGGCTCTTTTATGACTTGTGGACTTCAACTCCCAGAATTCCTCAGCCAGCTTGCCTGGCTGAGGAATTCTGGGAGTTGAAGTCCACAAGTCATAAAAGGGCCAAGCTTGAAGACCCCTGTTCTAAACCCTCAGCGAAAGGCTCGTGAAACTGTGCAACGAGGAAGCAGCTTCCTCTCGACTGGACGTACAGAAGAGTGAGCTACTAAGGTACAGCTCACTGGAGGTGGGAGCTACAAGAAAGGGAATCTTCTCTAACGTTTTTTAAAACCTACCGCAAATTTGTTGTAGAGCTGATAGGTGAGCAGAGGGTTCGGTAATTCCCGGAAATACAGCTTGCAGAGAGAGCTAACCGAATGGATGTCTTGCAAGTAAACATCTTTGGAGAGCTCAGGTACCCGCTCGCTATCAAATTCATGCCTGGGGACACAGACAGAGAGAATTCGTCAGGGGGCAGGACAAGTTGCCTGGGTCCATGGTCACGTTCAGTGAGGGCTCCAAGGGAGAAACTATTTTGATAGAAAGACAACAGTAGGCAGATCAATGGTGCAAAGCAGGTGGGGTCCTGGTCTACGCTATTTATTTTTTATATTTTATATTTATATTTGGATTTATATCCCGCCCTTCTCCTGTAGGACTCAGGGCGGCTGACAATCTATTTAAAATACATACAAAACAATACAAATTTAAAATTAATTAAAAGGAATATTTAAATGTTTGTCGAATTTTAAAATATAATTAAAACCCCCCTAAAAATTACCCTAGGCCAGTCCTGCAAGCTGGAATAACCAAGTCTTGAGGGCGCGGCGAAAGGAAGGGAGATCAGGGATCACCCTGATCTCTGGGGGCAGTTCGTTCCAGAGGGTGGGAGCTCCCACAGAGAAGGCCCTCCCCCTTGGGGTCGCCAGCCGGCACTGTCTGGCTGACGGCACCCTGAGGAGACCCACTCTATGGGAGCGTACCGGTCGATGGGAGGTACTCTGCGGCAGGAGGCGGTCTCGAAGATATCCGGGTCCGATGCCATGGAGCG